GGTTAAGCCACAGACGAGATGCTCCAACTTGAAGGTTCGCCTTGGTCTTGCATACTTAACCATTGATTCCTTCCGGCTGACACAAAGATCAAATTGTTTACTTACTTCAGGATTCCCTCCGCTAAGTGAAGCCGTGTCATCATCGCACTGGCTACATACGTGGCTATAGAGTCCACTCAAACAAACCGTGCTCGTTGGCCGTTAAGAATATTCATCTACCCTTTTGAAATCTTTTGTTTTTAATCCTAATTGGTATCGAGTCATAGCCCCCCTCGCCAGAAAAGACTGGTAGATGAACCGGTTTAGTCGCCGAAGACCCGATCATGCAGTAGCTAGTATGGGTTATTTGATACTAAGTAGCACACAGAATGATCTGATACTAATAAAGTCAGTAAGTAGTCCAGAACCTTGTGGCACCATGCATAATTAGAAAACTGAAAAGAGATATTCATAAATATAAGATTTATTTTTTTCGGTTTGTTAACAATTTGATAGTTATTTAGAGATGAAGAATATTTGGGTTTTGAGAATAATTCTCTAATTGCGTTTAGGCGATCTGAGGGAAAGAAAGAGAGGGGAAAGAAAGAAAAAAGAAAGAGAAGTAGATGGTACAAAACCCGGTCATAAGTTAACACACGGTTAAACTGACACATAACAGGTGTCAAAAGATATCTAGGTCAAAAAGTACCTGACCGAAATCCACGAAAATGGAAGTTGTTATAATTGGTTGAAGAAATAGAGTTTAGAGATAATAAAAAAAAGAAAAGGAAAGACAGAAACATAATACGAAACAAGGTCGTAAGCGAAAACACACACGCTCGACCGGCACATATCAGATGTCAAAATTATCAGGTCAAGCACTTGATCTAATTCCGTGTCCACGGAAGATGGAAGTTTGTTAAAGTTGGCTGAAGAAATAAAATTTTAGGGACAATGAAAAATATTGATAAGTAACAAACGAAAAGGGTGTCATTGAGATGATAGGTAACAGATGGGGAAATGTATACGAAAACAAAACATTAATACACGAAGCCCAGACAATTTCTGAGGTTGGAAAAAAACACCCAAAGTTAAAATGCTTTTTTTTGAGATAATGTAGATTTTATTATCGGCCAGAGAAAAATGGAATATTTGTATTAGCTCGCGAGAGACGCCGACAGGTCTAGGAAAATCCCTTTCTTAGATCGCATCCAATTAGCGGTAGGCTGTTGACAGATGCCACGTGGAAGGGACCGATAGCGTCATTCGATCACATACGAAAAGGGCAAATTTAAATTTTGTTTTTTTAAGCAAGGTGTTTCTTCCCCAGAACAAAGCCCCGGATTGTACACGCCTGATTAGAGACGTCACGAAGGAAGGAGGGAAGATACCGACCAGAGTCTCATTAGCCGAGGACAGTCACATGATACATGAGGGAGGAGGAGAGACACCCGACCAGAGTCTCATTGGCCGAGAGCGGTCACGTGATGTGCGAGGGAGGAGGAAAGATGCCCGACCAGGACCCCATTGGTCGAGAGCGGTCACCTGACATACGAGGGACCAGGGGAAGGGGTATGCGCCTCCCCCAGAGGCACAGTAAGGAAGTAGGAGTGAAAGTAAGAGCGATAATGGGAAATCCCTAATCAGAAATAATACTACTTTAGAATTATCAAGAAAACCCTGGCGCCGACAGACCCACCCCAGTTTGTTACGGCGTCAATAAAAGCAGGACCCCAATCGACAGAAATCAGTTGGAGTTGGGGTTGCCCCTCGGAGAAGTTGGAATCAAACCAAGCCTAAGAAGAGAAATTCGTCCAACCCAAGTCGAAGTGAAGAAATTCGCCCAACTCAAGCCGAAGTGAATAAATTCGTCCAACTCAAGCCGAAGTGAATAAGCTCGTCCAACCGAAGCCGAAGAGAAGAAGTCGATTCGCGCACTGACGGCGAGAAAAATCAGCCGTGAACGACAGGTAGAGATTAGCGCCCAGTGTCGAAACCAATCCACACCCCGAAATGCAAATTTCTAGAGAACAAGCAACTCGAAGTCTTAAAGTTGTATGGTAGAAGCTTGGTGCCACAGTCCACAAAACGGGTCGGGAGGTAGGAATAATCTTGTGTAACGAACATTTAGATATAAAAAGTTGTTACTGTTTTCTTCAATAATTTTTGACCTTGTGAATTTTTCTTTTTCTTATCACCCCCGTTGAACTCAGCTTGCATACGGCCCCAATCCCTGTTTGATCCCGTCTGTCTAAGATCCAATCACAACGTGGGTAGGCAGACCGGAGATCAGTGCAATTACCCTAGTAACCAGGCGTTGGAAGCGAGTTGGGAACGGCGAGGCTGGTATTCATCTAACCAAAGGGTTAGAACGTCACACTTGAAGCAGCGAGGAGCGAACAGCTGACGCCGCGGCAAAGACGTCACATCTGGTGTCGTGACCATAGGACCAGAACCCTGGACCACGTCACGTTACAGTTGGCGCCGCGAACGAGATCGAACGACAGAGTCGACGCTGCGA